GCTTCATCCAAGCAGGACATACATCGAACGGAGGATTAAACCAAGCAGGGCACCGGAGTGTGCATCCCCCTCAGAAAGCTTCATCCAAGCAGGATGCACATCGAGCTTAGGGGTTAGCCAAGCAGTGTGAAGGGAAACTTGTAGGATTGCATAACGAAAACCAGAGTCATTCCCGTTTTTAGCTGTGTGAAGTGCTGCATGGTCTGGAGCAGCACAGTTTTGACAGCACAGAACACGTGCTTTGTGATCCTCTCAAGTCATTGCTGCGGTAGTAACCCGCGATTTCTCTCGCTTCCGCAGCGACGGACGGGAAAGTGTTCCAGGAGGTCATCAAGCCCTTCAGCAAGCGAGTCGCCAAGCTGGCCCTGGACACGAGCCGCCCGGTGGTGAAGGGCTGCGTGCTTGCCAACCTGGTCACAACGCCTGCCACACTCGTTGTTGGTTCGCAGCCAGAGCTGCAACCCCCGCCTCTCGCATCCACATCGGGTACGAAATCATGCATCGACCGCACCTTCAAGCTCTGCTGCTCTGCAAGGATTCCAACCTCCCCAATATGTGGCATGTCAGGTACCAGATTGGCAGGTACCCAATATGTGATAGGCTTGGTTGGCAGGATATAAGATACTTGCTGAAAACTCTCTGGGGAACTTTCTGCAGCATCAGCCAAGGAGAGGATTTCCAGTGCGCGCACATGTGTTGTGCACTACCAAAAGCCTTTCGGCCACCATTCTGACGCCCTGTGGATGGCGTATGTGTCATCTCCCTCTTTCTCCTTCGTCTGGCGGTGCCATCCAGTCAGCGCCAAGTGTGGCAAATGCAGGTGCGGCTGTCCAGTCAGCTCAACTTGCGGCCGAATCAGGCACGGATGTCCACTCAGCACCGGTCACTGCCACTTCAGACCCGGCTCTCCAGTCAGCGGCAGCTGCGGCCAAATCAGACGCGGCCGTCCAGTCAGCGGCAGCTGCGGCCAAATCAGACGCGGCTGTCCAGTCCGCGGCAGTTGCGGCCAGATCCGACGAAGCTGTACAGTCAGCGGCAGCTGCGGCCAGATCCGACGCGGCTGTCCAGTCAGCGGCAGCTGCGGCCAAGTCAGACGAAGCTGCCCAGTCAGCGGCGGTTGCGGCCGGTGTGGCCCCGGGCGACGAGGTAGGCAAGACTCCTGCTCTTGTGCCGCCTCCTCCCGCTGCAGTGGGTCAGGCAGCATCAGCAGCACACCCTGCAGCGACAGCAGGTGTACAGGGCTCAGAGGCCATGGCAGTGCTGGCGGGGGCGGCTCCAAAGCGGCTGGATGAGCAAGGCTCGGCAGACCCGGCTGCCGCAGTGTCCGCGCCGGTCAAGCTCGTGCTGCCGCAAGCTGCAGCTGGGCGGAAGCTGAGGGCCGCTGCAGCGACCCAGCCACTGGTGAGACATTCAGCCTGTGCTCTTTGAGGCTCATATTGAGTTCGAGCAGTGTTCAGTGCACACAACATCCTGTTTAGCAGCAATTCCCAAGCCCAAATAGACATGCTGAATGTCACCCTGGTGAAACTGCCGACATCTAACCTCATGCTCTGATGTTCATGTCATCACTGTTCATGTCATTTAGTATGCAGTGCAGAACTTGTGAAAGGAGTTGCAAGCTCCAGCGGTGGGAACAGGTGTTGTGCTGTCATGTGCAGGTGGAGGCACAGATGGCTGCCACAGATGATGTGGGCGACTCGGCAGCGCTTGCGCGCTTCATGCAGCAATCCACCTTCTCCACGCCGCCGGGCATCACCGCCAACAACATCAATTCAAAGGTGGTGTGCGCATCTGCGGCTGCTGCAAGCACCCCTGCCGCAGCAGCAGGATGACCTGTCGCTGAGGGTGTATTCCGCGCCCAAGTTTGCCATGCCACATCAGTTTGTACCTGGCATCACTGCACAGCAACAGATCCAGAAATGGTGAGTATATGCTGCTGGGAGACCCTGAGTAGCATGCGGTGCAGCAGCAGGATCAGCAACAGATGCGAGGCTGAGAGTCAGAACTTTAAGTATGTATACGCCCGAGCACAGCGAAAAGCTGGCCAGAACGAGCGCCAACAATGCGAGAGAGGAACGCATTGAGTAGGTATTTGATATCTCTTGAATATACATGAGTACGTGTAATAATAAACGTGTAAAAATAATAATAAAAACGTGTAAAAATGTGTAATAATAATAATAATAATAAATGAGTACGAAATAATATCGCGATGCTTCACCGGATTACAAGAGTAATAAAATAGCCACTGATAATCAGTAGTATAAGGATGTGCTCACAACCAGCAAAGTTGCTAGGATGAAGAGCTGCCCTTGTGATGGCATTGTGGGCTTTAGATGGAGTGAGTCCCAAAACTGTGCTGTTTTGTATAATTCTCCAAATGTTGCCGCAGGCAAGATGGCCGGCACAAATGTCGGAATGAAACTGTCAAGGAACATGTGTATTTGCAAGGTGTTAAGGCAAGTCAATGTGGGTTTTGTATGGCAACGGTTGCCATCTATTTGATTCTTTTGTTCCCGCTGTTTGAGTCCATGAATCAGGTGTCCGGCAATCATGGGCTGTGTTTAGGTCAGAGGGTGAAAGCAATATAAGAGAGGGAGGGATGTGCGTTGCGCAACAGATCTTTTAGGACATCACATCCATTTTTGGAAGGGATCATGTCCGGCGTTTGGTGTATTTGTCCGGAATAATGGCTTGGCCAACATAAGGACAGGAAACACAGCCTGGGTTCTCTGCTTAGAGAAGAGAGCAGTCAGGATCTCACAGGCTCTCCCTGCATTTTCTGAGGGGCACTGTGATTGCCTCGCTCTAGAACTTCATTGAATGCTTCGTTCAGCCCTACTGCTGGCTGAAAAGTTTTCGTTCAGAAGTAGGCAGAGCACCCAGTACAGCAGCATAGACTTCAGGCATACAGGGTTGACCGATGTGTATTGTGATGCTGAAATCATTTCAGTGAAATGATGTTACTGAATGCAGACCACTAGCCGGCCAGGCGCCTTGAGATGTGCTCTGAAATGCTTAGGAGTGGCGTCAGCCACATAGCAAATTATCTCATTTCCAGAAGGTAGCTATCCTTGTGATATCATTCCTCTCAGTCATCATGATGATAGTGTGTTTCTTGCCTGCAACCTGGTCTTGGCAACCTCAATTGAAGAGGTGCATGGCATGTCGGGCATGCCATACCCGGGGGCTTACATGGAAGTGCTCGAGTGTGCATTGGACAACTTGTAACCCTTAAGATGAAGTGTCCCATCTGCAAGTCACAGACTATCAATGTGGACGCGATCCCAAAACGAGATGACGAAGCATTGCTGCAGCTTCCAGCTTCCACGACGCTTCCCAAGATTTAGTCTGCCCTTCCCTCAAAAGACTATTCCTTTTCCGATAATCATGCGAGTATAACTGCGCGTGCCCCATCAGTCTTTTCTTTATGTCACCCAAGAAGTCTTTGCAATTTATTTCTCTTCCGTGGCTGCACATAAATGTCCTGTGACCGACAGATCAAAGCACTGGAAGACTGCGTGCGCAAACATCCTAGGGATCGAGAGGTAAGTGACCAAAGTCACTTTCAGTAGAACAGTGCACAAATCAAGCGGTTCGCCTGAAATACATATTCGACAGAATGGTTTACGTGCAGACTGTTTGTGGGCGCATCGAGATGCAAGCGGCCTGGTGTATGATAGGTCTTATATGCCCTCAAGAAGGTGAGTTGGTAGCTTGCTTTGTCAGACCGATCAGTTTGTTATGCACTCTGTGATCTCCTGCAAGGGAATGGGCCACGAGCAGGACTGCTCGCAGGGTTAAGTGCAAATGTGGCATCCGTGCAGTCGAAGACGTGGAATGCTGTGCTGGGCGCGTAAAGAATGGCTATATGTCCCTGAATTCGATCCCCAAAAAGTGCCAAGATACCATGAATCGCCTGGATGCTTGCATAGAGCAGCACCAGGCTCTGCAAGAGCCCGGCTGAGGCCCAACAGGACCTCTTTCCATTGTGCAAATGGCTGCGAAATCAGATCTGATGCCAGGTGTCCACAGGTAAGATACTCACAGTCAACAAGCAATGCGTACACATGTTCCTGTATGGGCCTGGAAGCGACATTATGTGCAGGAGGGTGGTCGGCCCCGATGAATGGCTTCTCAGAAGGCATGGTGTTCCTGCGGACACATGTGGAATTCATCCACACTAAGCAGAGGGCGCTGTGGATCAGAAAAGTGGAACAGTTGCTCGGCAGTCTGCCGGGAGGACTGGAGTAGAGCGATTGTGCAATGAAGCTTTGCCAACTGCCAGTGGCACCTTTGCTGAGCACTGCAGAATGCAGCATTGCCTGTTCATTTTACAACTTGACACAAAGAGCGTGGAGGCGTGGTGCCAGAGTGTCACCAGCAGCAGACATATGTGTCAGGCACAAGAACTGCATTGATGCAGTGGATTCTCTCCAAGACTTATCTATTGCCTAGTAAGACTTCTTGAAGTGCAATTTCCGATCGGTTTTGTTAGTTTATACTGGATCAGTCCGCAAGCATGAGGGGTTGTGTACTGGGAGGCAGGCGTTTAGATCATAACATACTTGTCGAAATGAGTTCACTGTTGGTCTCTACATATCTCTCTGGATCACCAAAATAATACCCCATGTCCTACACCTGAGATTGGAAGGCCCTTCCTTGGGGGAATCGACGTCGCTGCCAGGGCTCTGCAGCCTAGCACCAGAACTGTGTTGAAGTTGTGTCACAAGGAGCTTTGTCTGCATGGCTATTACGGGAGCGCTGCCGCGGCAACAGCGCCGCCAATGCCTGATTGGATACTGGCGCGCCCCACTCATACTTAATTAAGCTTTAAGTATATCATGCCATTTCCGTGAGTTGCCGGTCGCATGGCTGAGCACTTCATGGGCCACTGAGAATCTCGTGCAAATTTACCTGCCTCAGTCATTGGGGCTTCAAAACAGACTCTCATGGAAAAGTTTGAAAAATTATAAAAGGTAAAGGACAAAAAGGATGAGCCTCGCTGCCGGGACTCGAACCCGGGTAGCCAGGGTGAAAGCCTGATATCATAACCACCTAGATCACAGCGAGTGCCAATGCACAACATCAATTTCTGCTCACTATACCCCACACTGTCCTTTGCCCAGCAATCCTTTGACGAAACATCTGCCGGAAGTTCGTGCGAGTAGTACTCCTGGCGACACATCGATGCCAAACTACCGCAAGCGACGCCTGCAGAATGTCACTGCCGTGATAGGAACTCGAGCAGTGTTTACGGACAAAACATTCCAGTTGATCAGGCTGGTACTGTGCAAGCCAACAAAAAGTTGTGGGATCCAGGACTTGTTTATGTAAGCAGATAAGGAGTAGTAACGCAAATGAAGTTTAGAACGGAAACAAATGCTTCAATCATTGAATGGCACTAACACGGCGGCATGCAAGGAGTAACGCCCAGTCGCTTTGGACTCGGTATCCCGTTGAATCTACCGATGTAGAGAAGGTGGCAGTCAACATCAAAGGCAACAAAAATAGGCGTCTCAGCACTAGTATTGCAACGCCAATATTATGAGCACCATTCTTCAGACGTGAAGACGTCATCAAACGAACACGACATCACAGAATAAACGAAATCTACACTGGGCTGTCACAGCTCATTCCTGTCAGGCTGAGAGCTGCATTCCTTGGCGAAAAAGTTCAGGGCAACAGAGGCATGCAGCGCTGCTCCAAGCGGCATCTGGGCCTCGTCCATCTGGAACTGCGCTGTGTGGAGGCCGTGAACAGAGCCCGCTGTCTCATTCTTAATGCCCAAAAACGTAAACGCTCCAGGAACAGCATCTGCAGATCATTCCACAACATACATGATCAATCTCTGCAGGAACCTATACCTCCCTCGTGGTCTGCCAGCAAGAAAGGTCAACAGCACTGGCACTGTTTTAGCTCAAGCTACATTCAGTATGAGAGCCAACTTCATTGATCCACATCATCGAGTACAGCAAGGTCCCGGCTGACCAAAGGAGGAGGGGGCTCACCGGCCAAGAAGCTGAAGTCCTCTGCAGCCATGGTGGGCTCAGGCAGCCTCTGCCACCTGGATGCACCCACCAGCTGCTTGGCTGCTCCCTCCACCAAGCCCACCATTTCTGGAGCGTTCACAGTAGCACCATAGGCCTGCTCGCTCCAGCGCACCTCTGCCTTGCACCCGTGCACTTCTGCTGTTCCTGTGATTACCTGCATGAGACAGGCATAACATCCTTTCGATGTGGCCCAGCGTCGTGGTAATGGAAGCTCTGTTCCAGTTCCACTGGGGACAGAACTGCAAGCTAACAAATTACCCAATGGTACAGTGTGATATGCACGAGACAAAATGCCGCATGCTTCGTGCTCCAAAGGTACTCTTGCAGGCAAGCATGCAGCACAGGAGAGAGCTCATAGTCACCTGGGTGATTCGGTTCCTGAGGTGCTCAAAGTGGGTGTTGGTCAGGGCGCGCAGCGTGCCGGCCATCGACACGCTGTCAGGGATCACATTGGACGCTCCTTCGCCTGTGCACAGCGAGTCAGACCCACTCAGCAAACGTAGCCCCTCCTCGGGAGCACCCCAGGCTCCCCTTTCTCAGACACGCTTGACCTTCCGGTTTCACTCCCTCGTCAGCTCTTGCAACGCAGGAATGATGCAAGGGCAAATGGCATGGCAGCCCTGCTGGGGAGCAAACACCCTGGGTTCTGGCAAGATCACTCCTTCCCTTGGGTGAGTGCTCCATGCTTCACTGCTGCCTGAGGCTACTCCCATGCAAGACTAGGCCTGTCAGTGCAGGGCATGCGCGTGGACCACATTTGCAGCTCGGGGAAATTCTTCACTTTCCCTGATGGGTGGATGTGTTTGATTGCCCCCTGAAAGGTGACCCTACACCCTGAGAATTCCTTGAAGCATAAAACCCGAAATACAACCCCTAAGAGCCTACACCCTATAGGCAAATAAAATATAAAGGCAGGGCAGCACCAGTGTTGAAGCGGCTGACGGAGATGACGGCTGCGTCGGTCGGGGAAGTCTCGCGCGACACGAGCGGCTGCAGCGCGCCGACGATTGCGGCCGACGCAACAACGGGGTCGATGGTCAGCTGCGGTATCGCGGCGTGGCCGCCTCGTCCGACCACGTCCACAAAGAAGCGATCCGCCGCCGCCATGATAGTGCCGTCCTGCAGATACCATGCCGGAAATGGCTCGCACTTGTCTTGATAACAGCAGTGGCGGTCAAAGGGTTGAGTAACACAACTCTAGCAAGATCAAGGGCCACATCCTTGCAAAAACGATCAATCCAGGCCCAAGAAGCGGTCAGCTGCTGCCATGATGGTGCTGTCCTGCAGATACCATGGTGGTAGTGCATTTTTTCTGGGCGCACACTTGTGTTGATGGCAGAAGTGACGAGCACAGCATGTTCAAAGGGACGAGTGAAACAACTCTCTGACGTTCAAGGGGCCATGTTCACGCACAGGCAACGAATACAGGCCCCAGGAACGGACGCAGTGTGCCGGGACCCGCGGAACTTGGTGACTGACTGGGCAGCTCCAAGAGCGCTGTTGTCATAGTCAGGAAAGTTCCAGGGAGGAACCAGAACCCTGCAACTGCACAATTAGCTCAAAAATCAGGGTGGGAAGCCATCTTACCCTGGAAGCAACAATGCCTGCGGGCAGAAAGGGGATGACATGAATGCCATGGACGCCCGAGACCCCCTCCAGTGCCCCCTCCTCCACAAACTTCTTCCCCCCTGCGCCCCCCTCCTCTGCCGGCTGGAACAGCAGCAGAACGGTGCCCCCCAGATCCGCCTCCCGGGCCTTAAGCAGGGCGGCCGCTGTGAGCACATGCCAGCCCCTCATCAAGTGATGTTTTGACACGTGTGCGTTCTGCTTGCTTCAAGGCGCAGCATCATGAGCATGCCACTTGGCCATTCCGCAAGTAGCGATCGCACGCGCCAGCATCTTGACCAGCACTGCAGTGTCACTTAGACAAGCCCATAATGTGAATGTACAGCTGGCGTGACATTTGAACATCGTGACAATATCGAGAGAATCAAACAGTCTGTGCACGCTTGTGCAACATGCTTTTGCAGAGCAGGATAGCCGGGCCGTGGGGAATGCTGCCTGTGGATGTCTGAGGCTCGCACCTCCCAACAGCATAGTCATGTGAGTGTCGTGACCACATGCATGCATCTTTCCAGGGTGTGTGCTCTTGAAGTCCACATCAACCTCCTCCTGCATATTTTCCAGCGGAGTTTGCACAACTGCTGCTCTTACTTATACTGGGTCGGTACCCATCGAAAGTGTGTCTCAAGCGGGTTTTTCAAGTGCATAAACAGCATTCCAAAGCGTGAGCTGCGGAAAGAGTACGTGCCTGGATCGGCAGAGCGTCCATGTCGGCGCGGAGCGCAAATTTGGGTTCACCCTGACCGATGGTGGCTAGGATGCCGCTGCCAGCTACTGGGTATTTGTAGGGGACCCCCAGCTTGTCCAGCTCTGCCCTGCGCATTGGACCATGCATGTTTATTGACTACTGAGGAAGGAGAGCAAACATCCATGCGTATAACAAACTCAGGTGTCCGGTGCAGGTTGATGCAAAGTTTCGCGGGTACATTGCCTTGCTGCTATTCCCCGCCATGCTCAAATCAAGCAATCCACAAACAGGGCTCCACGGCTTGCACTATGTAGACCTTGACAAGCCAAAGGAAGCCCAAGAGCGGTGCATGGAAGACTCTGTGCATCCAGAATGATAGGGGAAGCTCACTTGACATAGGCGCTGGTCTTTGGCAGGTCGTACATCAGCTCCGGTATGGTGTGCAGGTGTCTGCCAAGGCATGACTTGATTCTGTTAGTACGATCAGATCTGTGGGATAGAAGTGCTACATTTGGCTTGAAGGGTTTGCGGTCATAGTTGGCTAACCTTCGAACCTCCTGAAGGTATGGCATCAGCATTTCTGCCTCCTGCAGTAGGCTTGGTACAGGAGTGGGGGATGCAGTTACCCTCGTGTGCATGAAAAGGGCTGTTTGCCAGATGACTAATAGAGTGCATCCCAGTGCGCAATACATCGTTCAGTACGGCAGTACTAGACCGTTGTATCAGCTGATAAGCGATCAAGGTGTCGGAATTCTATCAAAATGGGTGAATATGAGTGTCGGAAGTATTCCCAATGTACAAAGTCAGCAAAGTCGAGTAAACTATAGCGACACCATTTAGATGTTCATTCCTCAGGTGTCAGACGCAGAAGTAGGGTCAAGAATCGGAATTTGTAATATAAGGATCGAGATCGATGATGGCCTATCAAGACTTTGCCGCAAAGATGGGCGAGACGAGCCCTGTGATAAAAATGACGTAAAACATCCAGGTCATCAACTATGACACGTTTGCGCGCAGCTTCCCCCAGCTGCCACCCCGGGCGCCCAATCTGTTTGTGGAGGAAACGCATCCTTACTTACTGCGAGAGGCAGCACCTCCAGGGCTGGCACCAGCACGTCACACCAATGGGAACTCGTGGGCTTACTGCTCAGCAATGTGTGGGTAGCAACAATGGAGCCCTGAAGCAGAGTAGGAGGGTATTCGTGAGCGCCCAAAAAGTGTCATTCAGTCCGAGAAGGTCCTCCCATAAATCGTGGTCAAGGGGATACAGAACAAGAGAGTTACGTATTTCAGCGTCCTCCACGGAAGCCGAGGCTGAGAGCTTAGCGCAGAAAGCCGCTCGTTCAGTTCCACACATCGAATCAGACGACCGGTACCTTCTTGATTCATGTCTGTGTACTTTTCATATTAAGTGGATAGGTTTCAGCTTTCAGATTGTATGCCATGTTTCTTGACTGCGCGCTGATGGGTGTCTCTAACGCGATTACTACTTTATTAAAGGATCTGGACTAGCAAAGCTGGTTGGTACGAGTGTTACTAGGAACATGTCTGCTGGCTAGTTCCGTGTACCGTTCGATTTTACGATGGAGAAATTTGACTTGCAGGATAGTAGTTTGGGGTGAGGACAAGCGGGGAGTGCGACACTGGCTGCAACGAACAGTCAAATACTTGACCAAAAAGGCTTGGATCGTGGCACTGGCATTGTTCTA